CCCCCCCCCCCCCAGAATGCATGTAAAAATAACTGCTGGTGTTTGGAAAGAACAAACCCTGTAAGTGAGAGAGTTTAGTTACCTGAGCTGAGAGGAGCCTTCAGACTGTCCCTTTCTGAACACCTCTTCCAGTCTTCTGTCTTTTCTTGTATCCTTCACTTGTACGTCATCCTTGGGCTTGATTTGTTCAACAGCAAGTTTGCAAATCAAGAGCAACTCCTTGGGAGTCAGCTGGGTCAGGCTCATATGAAATCTACAGACGAGAGATCAGAATCATGCACCAAGAAGCCTTGCAAAAGCAGCTAACGTCCAAATCCTGAGCCAGCTGCAGCATATCAAATCTAGTCGTGCAGAACATGCTGTACTGGCTTCCTACCATGACACTGCTATACCACGATCTAAAAGCTCCATTGTACCAACAAACGCAAATCTTTAAATGAGGGTGTGCACATGCCTGTGTGCGCATGTATTTGGGGAGCTTTGGTTTAGGTTTTTTAAGTGAGGTATTTTTCTCTCTCTCTTTTTTTATTAACTCAGTTTATTCTGTCAGATATTTGGGGCTAAAACCAAGCAGTCCTATTTTGTAACTTCCCTTCAGACTTTTTAAAATGGACACTAGACTGACATTCATTTTCCCCAGCCAGAGCAGAGCAACCTCTTTTCGACCTCTGGGAATTACTCTTCCTTTTCCAGCTTCAAGTCATTGCAGAAAAAGGGATCCATTGCTCCTGGAGGCGGTTGGAGAGCTGCTCTACATAGGCCGGTTCAGTCTTCTGGTGGTACCAGTCCTTGAGTACCCACTGGTCAGATGTTGACTTTGAGTCTGTCAGGAATATTAAGGGTCAGATCCTAGACCCTGCTCTAAGGGCGCACAGCTGGTGGGTGCTTTCCGGTAGCTTAAAGGTGCCACGTAGCTTTCAGTTTCTATCTCCCATGCCCCTGCTAGACTGACAAGGGCAGAGGCAGGTTGAGGGGTGCCACTACCTCCCTTGAAGTCACAGGTGACTGGCTATAATTTAGGGTTAGCCCTTAAGCTGTTCTGACCAGCCCTGTGTGGCAGTTGTAAGTATAGAAATGGCTTCTAGTCCTTGTATTGAATGCAGCTCAGGTGGGTCTAGAGCAGGGGTTGGCAATGTTTGTGGGCAGAGTGCCAAAAACACCTGCAACCTCAATTTGTAACGTGGAGTGCCAGGGGCAGATGGAGGAGGAGCTGCAAGGGGCCCAATCCTTGCTGTGGCAGTGCAACCCTGGTCCCTTCTCTGCCGTCTGCCCCAAGGTGTGCGTGCCAAGCAAAATGCCTTCACATGCCATTCTGGCACCCGTGTCAGGGGTTGCCTACCCCTGGTCTAGAGATTGGGGCCATGATGTTGCCAGCTGGCATGAGATATCTTTTCATTATGGTTTTGTGGCAGTCCATATCAAATCCTGGCCTCTCTGAAGTCAGTAACCAACCTCCCATTGGCTCCATTGGAACCTAAATTTGGTCCTAGGAGACATGGTATTGGGGGGCAGGGAAAGGAAAATATTTCATGTGACAGGCAACGCAGGAAGTGCCTGAAAAACGTACAGGATACAATCTCAGAGGAGCCGAGCAGAGGCATGGTTACACATGAGGGTTGGAAAAGCCGTGGTTCCAGAGATAAATGGGCATATTACCCTGGATTCCCTTTCTGCTCAGCTGTGTTTGAGCTTTAATATTTTTCCAGGAAAAAGAAAGTGAAATAATGCGGTGTTTTGTTTTGTGCTGTTTTGTTTTGCTTTCTTCCCCCCCACTTTAATTTTTATTTAAGTGCTGTGGTTTCAGTTACCCAGGATTTCAGTCAGGAAGCAGCCATTGCCAGCTCTACTTTAAGCTACACTTCACACAGCAGCCCCTCCTAGATTCTTATTTCCTTAAAACTCCAGATCCACAGGGACAGCTTGTTGCCTGTGGATGGTTGAGGCTGATGCTAGTGCCTTTTAGAAAAACAAAACAAAACGGTGTTTGTTCTCTAACAAGGTCTCAGACCATTTGGCCTTTAAAATGGAGTGGTGTAAATCAGTCCTTCTCACCCCTTTTAGACTCAGGTCACCCCTCATTAGACTCAGAGCATGGCTTGGAAAATGCCAGTTCTTAACTTTCATTCAGTTTTTGACTACAGAAAAATAATAGAGCTTTTTTCTGTTGCACGGAACTCAGAAAGACCATACTGGGTGGAATGTTTTTGACACTGGATTGCTGTTTGAAATCTCAGGCTTTATCTTATGGATCTCTTGTAAATGGTTGAACACCTGACATTGCTAATATTGTGTGGCACCTCACGGTGTCCTGGTTGAGAATCCTTGGTATAGATGAAAGGAGTAGGGATGTGGCTTCTTGGATTTATTCAGTTCTGTGGATTCTGTATGGGCACTCTCTTGTGGTGCTAAACTGCTTTTTTGACAAGCTATTTCTGGCTTCTCATTTAGCAGCAATGCCTTCTAGCCTCTGGAATAAACTTTCAAGAAAGGTACCTATGCATAAGATATATTTAACACTAAACTGGACATAGAACTGCTTTCTATTCTATCTAGGGGCAAAATGACCCAACTCCCTTCTTCCCTCTTCCTTCCCTCACACACATTGTTATGAATTCAGTCAATAAAGACTTCAGCAGAGGGACTAGTAATAGGAAATACCGCTGTAAGCAGGATTGAGAAGTAGTTTTTCAATGATGTGTATGTGTGGGTCTTTGTTCCCTGGAAAGTAAAGGGCTTGTTTCTCTAACCAGGACCAGGAATCTTGTAGGCGGACATTGTACAACCTTTCCTGCTCATGCTGATCATCTTACTGTTAGCTTTAGAGAACCACTCTTGGTTGGTTTCTTTTCTGTGAAACCATCCAAAGCTGCCAGAGCTGAGGAGAAGGCAGAGCCAATAAATGCATGTACAATGAAGTGCAGAAAAATGGATAAACATCACATTCTTTTTAATTTTAAAACAATCTACGCATCAAGTGACACCAACATTGCCCTTGTATTTCCTAATCATGCTAATGGTCAGAGGGCTAGAAAAGAATTAAGTCTTCGTGAATCAGAATGGAATGAGAGGCTTTTGTGTCTGGTCTTCCAAATCTGGAGCCAAAACAGTTTGCTTTGTGGGTGAAATCTGGAAAATCTCAAAGTCGCTTTTCTACTCTGAATGAATTAGTCAATTTTGCTTTATCTCTCTTTAAACCCAGTTCAGTTATGCATCCAGCCATAGCAAACGGGACCCTGACTAACAAGCCCTGGGCTTGATATAACACATAGCTAAAGAAATATATTGAAAAGGATGACTAGAAATGGGATATATATACTTGTAGAAGAGGTCCTGAGGTCACTGTAGGCTAGTCCATAATAAACTTAAGTCAGGGAGTTGTCATAAAGCAGTACCCTGCTGGCCTTGTCACAGCCCCGAGTCCTATCCCTGGAGCTGTTTATTGCATCCCACCAAGGCTGTCTGATTCCATGGGCTTCCTTCATTTAGAGGGTAGGAATATATTCTGTGTTATATTAATTTTTGCCCTTTGCTTAACCTGCTTTGTAAGTTACACTCCCCATCAGACATCTCACTGGAAAAATAAAGGTGTGAGAGAATTGTCCTTAACAGGATGAGTAGGATTGAGTTGGAGCAAGTTTCTGAGGTAGTACAAACTGCCCAAATAACTCCGAAGTTGGTCAACACCTTAACAAGGCGCAAGATGCACAATACTGAACTCTCAGATACAGGGATGAAATTACCAAATCATTTTTGTACTATGCAGAACAAAAAAATCTCTTTTGTGTCAAGAGAAAACAAGGTCTTAGAAAGTTAATGATTTAATGCTGTTCATTCTAGCCCCCTTGTCAAAGGCATATAGGAACCCTTTTATTTGGACTCAAAGTACCTGCTTTGCAGAT